TGTTGATCTACATGTTGATTTACATGTTGATCTACATGTTGATCTACATGTTGATCTACATGTTGCTGATCTACATGTTGATCTACATGTTGATTTACATGTTGATCTACATGTTGATCTACATGTTGATTTACATGTTGATCTACATGTTGATCTACATGTTGATTTACATGTTGATCTACATGTTGATCTACATGTTGATCTACATGTTGCTGATCTACATGTTGATCTACATGTTGATTTACATGTTGATCTACATGTTGATCTACATGTTGATTTACATGTTGATCTACATGTTGATCTACATGTTGATTTACATGTTGATCTATATGTTGATTTACATGTTGATTTACATGTTGATCTACATGTTGATCTACATGTTGATCTACATGTTGCTGATCTACATGTTGCTGATCTACATGTTAATCTACTTGTTGCTGATCTACATGTTGCTGATCTACATGTTGATCTACATGTTGATTTACATGTTGATCTACATGTTGATCTACATGTTGATTTACATGTTGATCTATATGTTGATTTACATGTTGATTTACATGTTGATCTACATGTTGATCTACATGTTGATCTACATGTTGCTGATCTACATGTTGCTGATCTACATGTTAATCTACTTGTTGCTGATCTACATGTTGCTGATCTACATGTTGATCTACATGTTGCTGATCTACATGTTAATCTACTTGTTGCTGATATACATGTTGATCTACATGTTGATCTACTTGTTGATCTACATGTTGCTGATGTACATGTTGCTGATGTACATGTTAATCTACTTGTTGCTGATATACATGTTGATCTACATGTTGATCTACATGTTGATTTACATGTTGATCTATATGTTGATTTACATGTTGATCTACGTGTTAATCTACTTGTTGCTGATATACATGTTGATCTACATGTTGATCTACATGTTGATTTACATGTTGATCTATATGTTGATTTACATGTTGATTTACATGTTGATCTACATGTTGTTGATCTACATGTTGCTGATCTACATGTTGCTGATGTACATGTTAATCTACATGTTGATCTACTTGTTGCTGATCTACATGTTGCTGATCTACTTGTTGCTGATATACATGTTGATCTACATGTTGATCTACTTGTTGCTGATCTACATGTTGCTGATGTACGTGTTAATCTACTTGTTGCTGATATACATGTTGATTTACATGTTGATCTACATGTTGATTTACATGTTGATCTACATGTTGATTTACATGTTGATTTACATGTTGATCTATATGTTGATTTACATGTTGATCTACATGTTGATTTACATGTTGATCTACATGTTGATTTACATGTTGATTTACATGTTGATCTATATGTTGATTTACATGTTGATCTACATGTTGATTTACATGTTGATTTACATGTTGATCTACATGTTGATTTACATGTTGATCTATATGTTGATTTACATGTTGATTTACATGTTGATCTACATGTTGTTGATCTACATGTTGCTGATCTACTTGTTGCTGATATACATGTTGATCTACATGTTGATCTACTTGTTGCTGATCTACATGTTGCTGATGTACGTGTTAATCTACTTGTTGCTGATATACATGTTGATTTACATGTTGATCTACTTGTTGATCTACATGTTGCTGATGTACGTGTTAATCTACTTGTTGCTGATATACATGTTGATTTACATGTTGATCTACATGTTGATCTACATGTTGATTTACATGTTGATCTATATGTTGATTTACATGTTGATTTACATGTTGATCTACATGTTGATCTACATGTTGATCTACATGTTGCTGATCTACATGTTGCTGATCTACATGTTAATCTACTTGTTGCTGATCTACATGTTGCTGATCTACATGTTGATCTACATGTTGCTGATCTACATGTTAATCTACTTGTTGCTGATATACATGTTGATCTACATGTTGATCTACTTGTTGATCTACATGTTGCTGATGTACATGTTGCTGATGTACATGTTAATCTACTTGTTGCTGATATACATGTTGATCTACATGTTGATCTACATGTTGATTTACATGTTGATCTATATGTTGATTTACATGTTGATCTACGTGTTAATCTACTTGTTGCTGATATACATGTTGATCTACATGTTGATCTATATGTTGATTTACATGTTGATTTACATGTTGATCTACATGTTGTTGATCTACATGTTGCTGATCTACATGTTGCTGATGTACATGTTAATCTACATGTTGATCTACTTGTTGCTGATCTACATGTTGCTGATCTACTTGCTGCTGATATACATGTTGATCTACATGTTGATCTACTTGTTGCTGATCTACATGTTGCTGATGTACGTGTTAATCTACTTGTTGCTGATATACATGTTGATTTACATGTTGATCTACATGTTGATTTACATGTTGATCTACATGTTGATTTACATGTTGATTTACATGTTGATCTATATGTTGATTTACATGTTGATCTACATGTTGATTTACATGTTGATCTACATGTTGATTTACATGTTGATTTACATGTTGATCTATATGTTGATTTACATGTTGATCTACATGTTGATTTACATGTTGATCTATATGTTGATTTACATGTTGATTTACATGTTGATCTACATGTTGTTGATCTACATGTTGCTGATCTACTTGTTGCTGATATACATGTTGATCTACATGTTGATCTACTTGTTGCTGATCTACATGTTGCTGATGTACGTGTTAATCTACTTGTTGCTGATATACATGTTGATTTACATGTTGATCTACATGTTGATTTACATGTTGATCTACATGTTGATCTACATGTTGATTTACATGTTGATTTACATGTTGATCTATATGTTGATTTACATGTTGATTTACATGTTGATCTACATGTTGATCTACATGTTGATTTACATGTTGATCTATATGTTGATTTACATGTTGATTTACATGTTGATCTACATGTTGATCTACTTGTTGCTGATCTACATGTTGCTGATGTACGTGTTAATCTACTTGTTGCTGATATACATGTTGATTTACATGTTGATCTACATGTTGATTTACATGTTGATTTACATGTTGATCTACATGTTGATCTACATGTTGATTTACATGTTGATTTACATGTTGATCTACATGTTGATCTACATGTTGATTTACATGTTGATCTATATGTTGATTTACATGTTGATTTACATGTTGATTTACGTGTTGATCTATATGTTGATTTACATGTTGATCTATATGTTGATTTACATGTTGATTTACATGTTGATCTACATGTTGATCTACATGTTGATCTACATGTTGATTTACATGTTGATCTATATGTTGATTTACATGTTGATCTACATGTTGATTTACATGTTGATCTATATGTTGATTTACATGTTGATCTACATGTTGTTGATCTACATGTTTAAGGACATGCTTTAGGACCCTAAAGCTGGGTCTACTAAACATTAGATCACTGGCAGGGAAATCATTAATCAATGATTTTATTATTGAGCACAAGCTTGATTTGATGTTTTTAACTGTAGATCAAAATAACAGTGCAGCTGTTCTTATCGAGTCAACCCATCCCAACTTCAGTTTTGTAAGCGAGGCTAGAGTGCATAAGAGAGGAGGTGGAGTTGCAGTTTTGTTTAATGATTCCTTCCAATGTAAGCAATTATCTTTTGGAAATTTTGCTTCTTTTGAATAAGTGGCCCTTCAGTCCACCCCCAGAGCCATGTTCCTAAATATCTACAGGCCACCTAAATACTGTGCAAACTTTTTCGATAATTTCACTGAACTGCTGTCTGTGATCTGTATTGACTTTGACTGTGTTATTATTGTTGATAACCCCCAGGACAGAGGGACTAAAGAACTGTTTCACACTCTTGAAACAGGTTTTTTCAAAAAAGTCTCCCAAGTCATGGCTCCAGATCTGTTATAAATTGTAAACCTGTCTCTTCTCTCAGGTATCTTCCCACAGGCCCTGAAAACAGCAATCATCAAGCCACTATTAAAATAGAACAATCTAGACAAGTCAATAATGAACAATTACAGGCCTATATCAAATCTTCCTTTTTTAAGTAAAATAATCAAAAAAGCTGTTTTTCAACAGTTAAATAACTTCTTGACATTGAGCGACTGTTTTGATGTCTTCCAGTCAGGTTTTAGACAAACTCAAAGCACTGAGACAGCTCTGGTGTGTTTAATGACATCCGTTTAAACACAGACAGTGGCAGAACCTCAGTCTTAGTTTTACTTGATCTCAGTGCTGCGTTCGACACAGTTGCCCACAATATATTACTCGACCGACTGGAAAACTTGGTGGGAGTTTCTGGCACAGTACTAAACTGGTTTGAATCCTACTTAAGGGACAGGGACTTCTTCGTGTCTATAGGTAACTTCAAATCTGAGCAAACAAAAATTACTTGTGGAGTTCCCCAAGGTTCCATCCTGGGGCCTCTTCTGTTTAACCTCCTGATTAATTACGAATCATCGAGACCACTCAGGTCGTCTGGGACAGGTCTGCTCTCTGTTCCCAGAGTCAGAACCAAACACGAAGAAGTTCAGTTTTTATGCTCCTTATATCTGGATCAAACTCCCAGAAAACTGCAGGTCTGCTGAAACTCTCAGCTCTTTTAAATCGAGGTTGAAGACACACCTGTTTACAGCTGCCTTTCATTAAACAGCTTTAATAAGATTTTAAATTTTAACTCTGCACTGTAACTTTGAACTCTTTTTATATTTTTAATTTATTTATTTCAATTAATTTCATTTGAACAGATTTAATAATTCCAGTGATTTTTTTTTATGTTCTATTTTAATGTTTCTTTTCTTTCCTCTGTCATGATGTTTTGTGTGAAGCACTTTGAATTGCCTTGTTGAAATGTGCGACATAAATAAACTTGCCTTGCCTACATGTTGATCTACATGTTGCTGATCTACATGTTGTTGATCTACAACGTGACATTCAAATGAATAAATTAATGAATTTCACCAACATGACTATTTCAGTTTCATGACATCACAGCGTGCTTTATTCAAATTACCAAGGCCGTTATACAGGGAAGCAGGGAGCACAGCACTCCCTCATGGTGACGTTAAAAAGGCAGACACGATAACAAAAACACAGACAACACATTAGCAAACTGTGGTATAACATGTTAGCACTAATGTTATCATGGTATGGCTTCTTCAGATTACATTCTTCTTTGTACATGAAAAGGGGATAACAATGGCATCAGAAAGTTATCATATTTAAAAGGAGTTTAAAAAGTACAAAAACAACATGACGTAAAAGAATCTAACTGAAGTAAAAACAAAAACATCGGGAGGATGTTTTTAGTTAAATCTTAAAATAAAAAGTTAGCGCAAGGACAAAACAACCCCCATTTTGTTCATCACACACATTCAATACAGATTGTTGACAAATAAATAAATTAAAGGCAACTTTTCAAGTTTAGCAATCTGCTTTGATGGCACAGGAAGTACTTTTTTTTAAATAGTAAAATCTAAACAACCTCAGCAACATCTCTGCAGAGACAACAAGACAACCTCAGTAACATCTCTGCAGAGACAACAAGACAACCTCAGTAACATCTCTGCAGAGACAACAAGACAACCTCAGTAACATCTCTGCAGAGACAACCTCAGTAACATCTCTGCAGAGAGACAACAACCTCAGCAACATCTCTGCAGAGACAACAAGACAACCTCAGCAACATCTCTGCAGAGACAACAAGACAACCTCAGCAACATCTCTGCAGAGACAACAAGACAACCTCAGCAACATCTCTGCAGAGACAACAAGACAACCTCAGCAACATCTCTGCAAAGACAACAAGACGATATAGCAGACTGTGATCCAGCGGACACGTCACGATCTCATGCGAACACGACATCACTCTCACCCTGAATCACAGCGGTGATATTTAATACATTAAAGGTTAAATAGCTTTTCAAACGTCGTCAGTTCCATCCTCTTCCATGCTCTCAGCAGGAGAAACATGACAGGAGGCTGCTGACCCGATTTCTCTGGTCCGACTTCAACAACCATTTTCATGCATCGCAACCGGACATTGACTTTATCGCGTCAGTTCATTCAATACAGAGAAAACTGAGCGTGTCACAGACAAGTTCAAAAAAGGAAAATCTTCAGACACGTGTTGGTGTGAGAGAGACGTCAGTGATGCTGCTGAAACAGACGATCAGCCTGCAAGCCGCTCTCTTTAACCCTGGAAGAGAACACACATAACTCAGCTCCTCTGTTAGTGTGTGTGTGTGTCAACAAATACACAGGAAGTTAACCACTGACTGACGTTCACACTTCACCTTCTGTTTTTGTCTGCACAGCAAGGCTGAAACGAGACCAGAGAAGAAGACAGCGAGGCAGAAATAATAAAACATTCTCATCTAAAATGACCTCCTTAAAATCACATTGTGTCTGTTAAAAATCAAAGGTTTGTGGTTTTTCTCTAAATGTGTAACGCATCAGATTTTGTATAAAACGCTGGTGGTGTATTTCAAACTAAAGCAGGTTGATGCTGCACTGCCCCCGGTGGTGGGCTGAAGGTACTGCTGTGTGATGAGCTGGCTGAGGTAGAGCAGTATCAGGCTGTCATCTTCGCCCAGTCCCAGCTGCTCCTGCAGGAAGCAGTGGCGGCGGCCCTCCACCACCTCGGGCGCCTCCGTGGAGCTGACAGGAAGGTGAAGGTGGTGGGTGAAGGTAAACAGGAAGGCCTTGGCTGCCAGGCGACAGAGCGTGCTCTGTAGGTGAAGGAAGTAAGTGGAGCCCCGTCGGATGTAAGTGCGGTGGGTGGCCATGTTGGCGAGGAGTTGGCCACAATATGGCGGACAGCGTAAAGTCTTCTGGTCGGCGTCCAGGATGGAGATGTAGCGGCTGTAGCGAGACAGCGAGTAGAGCATACTTGAACCCACTGGAGACGCCATTCTGAGGGAGAAAAACACAAATAGTTCTGTTTATATATAAACATATATGTTTGTCCAGGACAGGGCCACTAGGGGGTAGTGCCACGTTCAATGAGTTAACAGAAATGCACACACCTACCTGCATCTTGAAATGCAAAGCGTGTATAAAGTAGACTTTGTTATTGACACCTATAGTTAATAAATATCAGTCTTGCATGACGGATTAACAACAAACATAAACCTTCACATGCATAGAGATTCTCGGATTCTGTTTCAGGAAATCTCTTTAGGCAACATCTTTTTTAATCATCATTTCTACAAGAGTTTCCAATAAATGATAAAAAAAAATCTAAATTTTAATTCAACATACCTTTGCAGTCCAATGAGTTTCCACCTCTGCAGGTCAGTCAGGGTGAAGGGGACGGACAACCACGACTGAACCTTCTCTGCACATTTGCCTGGACCAGGTACAAACAGAGCCAGAGCTGAGACCAGTCTACGGACTCTCCCTTCATCCGTCCCAAGAACCACCAGAGTCCTTCCGCTCATCAGACACCACAAAGCCTGCACGGCAAATGGGTACTGTCGCACAAACCTCAGGGATCCCTGCCCCGCCTTCTTCCTCTGATGCAGCGTCACCATGCCCCCGTACCCGAGGGGGGAGGGGGCCCGCTCAGAACCTGTAGAAGCACTCAAGGTACAGTCCGACCCCTCTTCCACTGAGGTCCGAGAATCTGAATCTCCAAAAGCAAGGACAGGGAGATCCAGTCCTGCTGCAGGACTTCCTGAGCCCGGGGAACTGACCGAGTACTGGTCCTGGAGTGGAAGGAGGGCCTGGGGTTCCTGTTTGACAACCAGGGTTTCACAGGACTGGGGATCAGAGCTTTGGTCCATAAAGGGTGGTACCAGAGGGGTAGAATCATCATAAAGGAAGCCCTCTTGGGACAAACAGCATGTTGTGTCTATAGGAATCAACAAGTCCGAGTCCATGTCAAAAGTCCCATCAGGGCGTCCCTCAGACTCATCCTCTCTGCGGGTCATTAACTCAGACTCCACCTCCAGCAGGGACACTGGGGTCTGGTCTCCTACACTGTCTCCCTCGTCCTCCCCTGCTGTGGTCTCCAGGTCCTCACTACTGCTCTCTCTCTCCAGGTCAGGGGTCAGAACAGGATCAGGGGTCAGGTCATGGTCAGGGGTCTCTGAAGTTGTGCCACCCTGATCCTGCTTCCTGTCAACTGGCCCTGCCCCACTCTGACCCCTCCTGTATCTTTCTGTGGTCTCCTGGGTCTCTACAGTGTGGTCTGAGTCGGCAGAGTCCAGATGGCACTCGCTCTGTTGAGTCTGGATCGTGTCAGAGTCCGGCTCAGGAGGATCTAATTGGAGGACTACAGGAGGTGGATTTAGGATCGTACAGTTTGCTCTGACGTGATTCACGGCACAAACCGGTCTCAGAGCTCCAAACTCGCTCTCCTCGTCTTCACCAAGGTCCTCCTCAAACAGGAAGTTGGTAACTTGCTGTTTCCTGCGTAGTGCCCGGTCCAGTCGGCGTGTGTGCAGGTAGCACAGATCGCCCCTGAAGCTCCTCTCAGTGTCCTTCAGGAGTTCCACCGTGGCCTCGTAGAACACGTCGTCACACAGTTCCTGCAGGGTCTTCAGGCGTTTGTCGAAACACTTAGCAGACTTGGCTTTGATCAGCTGTGGCGTGTACGACGGGCGCCGTCTCACGCCCTCCTCTTCCTCCCCATCCACCTCCTCTTCACCATCAGGTTGACTCCGCCCATCCTCCCCGCTGTCCTCGCTGTGAGTGAAGGGGGATGCAATTTTGGCGAATTTGTCCAACAGTTGTTCACACTCACTCAAACACTCATTGAGACACGTCTGACAGGTGACGGCGTTCGGGTCACGGCGTGGACGCTGATGGTACGAGCTGATCTGTCTCAGCAGGTCGCGGTGTTCGTAGATGCTCTTTTCTACGTTAGCCAGTTCATTGGCCTTCTCGACAGCGTGGGCGGAGTACATGGTCTGAGGCCTCGCCTCCCTCTGTAGCCCCTCCTCCTTCTGCAGCACAGAGTGAGTGTACCTGCAGGCAGAAAACAAACTGTTCAGACTCACCTGTAAAAGAGTCTAACCTGTGAAAGAGTCTAACCCTAACCTGTGAAAGAGTCTAACCCTAACCTGTGAAAGAGTCTAACCCTAACCTGTAAAAGAGTCTAACCTGTGAAAGAGTCTAACCCTAACCTGTAAAAGAGTCTAACCTGTGAAAGAGTCTAACCCTAACCTGTGAAAGAGTCTAACCCTAACCTGTGAAAGAGTCTAACCCTAACCTGTAAAAGAGTCTAACCTGTGAAAGAGTCTAACCCTAACCTGTAAAAGAGTCTAACCTGTGAAAGAGTCTAACCCTAACCTGTAAAAGAGTCTAACCTGTGAAAGAGTCTAACCCTAACCTGTAAAAGAGTCTAACCTGTGAAAGAGTCTAACCCTAACCTGTGAAAGAGTCTAACCCTAACCTGTGAAAGAGTCTCACCTGTGAAAGAGTCTAACACAAAAGGCTAAACCCAAAGAGAAGAATCTCAAAGGAAGGACCCAGGACTCTTTTCGGGATTCTTTTCGGGGTTACACTGTTTTCATTGAAACTTTGTGCAGGAGTTTGTCTCAGGTTTTGGAATTAAAAATCAAGAAATGACCCAATAAGGGGTCCTAGGACCTCCCTAACCTTAAAAAGATCACATCTATTGAACGAGACGGGAATGATCCATCAAAGATTACAAACTGTTGGTTAAAGTCTGTTCTGAGGTCTTACTCGAGGTCCCTCAGCTTCCTCTGCAGCTCTTTGGCGAACGCCCTCCTGTTTCCCGCCTTCAGACACTCGGACGCCTGAGAGAATCGGAAAGAAAGCTCCTCAAACTGCAGCATGATCTTCCTCTCATCTGCTGACACGTAGGCCATACAGAATGGACGGACAAAGCCCCTCGCCTCCAGGTCATACAGAGTCAGGTGGTGCACATATGCAAAGGCCCCCTCCTTTGAGTCCCCCAGGACCACCCTCGAGTCCTCCACGAAGCTGAGCCTCGGGTATCCACTGCCGGGCGGGTGACCCACAAAGGAGGCCTGATAGTCCACAGACATGATGCGCAGGGAGAAGTAGTTCAGGTCGAAGGAGCCACAGACTTTAGGGTCATCAGGGATGGTGAGGAGGGGCTGAGGACCCACCTGCTCCGAGAACTCAGAGATCAGGATGAAGTCTTTGGTGAATTTGGCGTACGAGGTTTTAGCCCAGGGGTTAAGGTCGACCAAGGGATGGAGCGGGACAGAAAACTCCTCAGGGACTGCCCAGGGGTCTGGATTAGTGTGTCCATACTCATCCTCTTTAGTGAACGCCACCAGGTCAGGAGAGCCAATCATAGTGCTGTTAATAAGCCAGGCATGAGCAACACAACATGAACACACAGCAGCACTGAGAGGGTTCAAACGGTCCAATCAGAGAGAGAGGGTTCAAACGGTCCAATCAGTCAGCATCCTGCTGAGCGTCAGTTAATGACGTTAACAGCTGTGAGAGCATCCATATCTATCTGTTGATGTCATTAAACACAGTCTCAGATCAGATCCGTTCCTCCAGGACTAACCTGACCGGGCAGCACTTTGTTTATGTAAAGAAAAAGAACAGAAATCATCGCGACACAAACACAGATCAGTGTGTCTGTTAACAAAGCAGTCCTACTGCGCATGCTCCGTGCGTTCATCCTCCGTTCACGCTGTGCAGAAACCTGAGCGAGCAGCGTCCGTCCTCCTCCTCCTCTTCTCGGTCTCAGTGCTGTCCTTCATCACCGTGTGAGTGTTTAAACCGGGGACTGGCTGCTCTCACAGCTACATGAAGCCTTCACGTCCACACACCGACGCCATGTTTACACAGCTGTAGTCCTGTCAGCTGACCGATGCCCCTCCCACATCCGGAGGAAATCCAGCCTACACCAGAAATAAAAATAAAATATTTTTAATGACTGTAAAAAAGATCCACGAACCTCAAAGTGATCAGGGTTCTGTCTTTATTTTCTCTGATACAATATTTAGTTTAAGACTTCTGTGGTTTCTAACGATCATATTGTTTGATTTTTATTAAAATCATGCCATAGTTTATTATTTATTAATCTGGAATCTGCTTAACTTTAAATAATTTAACTTTGTGTTAAAGTTGAAAACATTTATTACAGTTTATTTTGATATTCTTTATTAATCCCTGAGGGGGAATTCAGGTTTACAGTTATTTATAGGGACATGCTACTCACACACACACACACACACACACACACACACACACACACACACACACACACACACTGAATCACAAACAGGAGCTGTGGACATCAGTGGAGAGATGTCAGAGTGGAGCTGCTACAAGCTGCTAGGCAGAGAACGCACCAGAGCAGTTGGGGGTTCTGTGCCTTGCCCAAGGACACCTTGACAGACAAATGTCCAGATTTGGTCCACACCAGGACTTGAGCCTGTGACCCTCCAGTTCCCAACCCAGGTCCTTACAGACTGAGCTACTGCCACCCCAAATTTTTGGGTAACCTGAGAGTCTACTGACCCACAACATGTTAAATAAATCCATCCAGTCCTTTGTTTGTGGTCTGCAAACAAAGGACCTTGTGATGTCACAGTGGGATTCCCCTCCCCTCCCCTGGTATCTCCACCCATGGACTCCACCCCCAGAGAGCAAAACTTTTGCACAGATCGGCCATTTTTATTCTCTCTACAGAGGAGTGATGTCTAGTGATGGCGGGGGGCTCATTACATTTAAAGAGACACACACACCAAAACGGAGCGTTCTGAGAGAGCTGGTTTCTACAGGGTCACAAACCTCCTCTGGTGCTGGATTCATGTTATATTTTGACCAAAGCACAGCACAGATGTTTCATTTAGACCACAGGGGGACTGTTTGAAAAGGTGGAGGAGGACTGTTTGAAAAGGTGGAGGAGGACTGTTTGAAAAGATGGAGGAGGGGACTGTTTGAAAAGGTGGAGGAGGGGACTGTTTGAAAAGGTGGAGGAGGACTGTTTGAAAAGGTGGAGGAGGACTGTTTAAAAAGGTGGAGGAGGGGACTGTTTGAAAAGGTGGAGGAGGACTGTTTGAAAAGGTGGAGGAGGGGACTGTTTGAAAAGGTGGAGGAGGGGACTGTTTGAAAAGGTGGAGGAGAGGACTGTTTGAAAAGGTGGTGGAGGAGGACTGTTTGAAAAGGTGGAGGAGGACTGTTTGAAAAGGTGGAGGAGGACTGTTTGAAAAGGTGGAGGAGGACTGTTTGAAAAGGTGGAGGAGGGGATTGTTTGAAAAGGTGGAGGAGGAGGGCTGTTTGAAAAGGTGGAGGAGGGGACTGTTTGAAAAGGTGGAGGAGGACTGTTTGAAAAGGTGGAGGAGGACTGTTTGAAAAGGTGGATCACAAACCTCCTCTGGTGCTGGATTCATGTTATATTTTGACCAAAGCAAAGCACAGATGTTTCATTTAGACCACAGGGGGACTGTTTGAAAAGGTGGAGGAGGACTGTTTGAAAAGATGGAGGAGGGGACTGTTTGAAAAGGTGGAGGAGGACTGTTTGAAAAGGTGGAGGAGGGCTGTTTGAAAAGGTGGAGGAGGACTGTTTGAAAAGGTGGAGGAGAGGACTGTTTGAAAAGATGGAGGAGGGGACTGTTTGAAAAGGTGGAGGAGGACTGTTTGAAAAGGTGGAGGAGAGGACTGTTTGAAAAGGTGGAAGAGGACTGTTTGAAAAGGTGGAGGAGGACTGTTTGAAAAGGTGGAGGAGGGGACTGTTTGAAAAGGTGGAGGAGGAGGGCTGTTTGAAAAGGTGGAGGAGGGGACTGTTTGAAAAGGTGGAGGAGAGGACTGTTTGAAAAGGTGGAGGAGGGGACTGTTTGAAAAGGTGGAGGAGGACTGTTTGAAAAGGTGGTGGAGGAGGACTGTTTGAAAAGGTGGAGGAGGGGACTGTTTGAAAAGGTGGAGGAGGACTGTTTGAAAAGGTGGAGGAGGGGACTGTTTGAAAAGGTGGAGGAGGGCTGTTTGAAAAGGTGGAGGAGGACTGTTTGAAAAGGTGGAGGAGGGGACTGTTTGAAAAGGTGGAGGAGGGACTGTTTGAAAAGGTGGTGGAGGAGGACTGTTTGAAAAGTGGAGGAGGGGACTGTTTGAAAAGGTGGAGGAGGGGACTGTTTGAAAAGGTGGAGGAGGGACTGTTTGAAAAGGTGGAGGAGGACTGTTTGAAAAGGTGGAGGAGGGACTGTTTGAAAAGGTGGAGGAGGGGACTGTTTGAAAAGGTGGAGGAGGGACTGTTTGAAAAGGTGGTGGAGGAGGACTGTTTGAAAAGGTGGAGGAGGGGACTGTTTGAAAAGGTGGAGGAGGGGACTGTTTGAAAAGGTGGAGGAGGGCTGTTTGAAAAGGTGGAGGAGGACTGTTTGAAAAGGTGGAGGAGGGACTGTTTGAAAAGGTGGAGGAGGGGACTGTTTGAAAAGGTGGGGACTGTTTAAAAAGGTGGAGGAGAGGACTGTTTGAAAAGGTGGAGGAGGGGACTGTTTGAAAAGGTGGAGGAGGAGGGCTGTTTGAAAAGGTGGAGGAGGGGACTGTTTGAAAAGGTGGAGGAGGACTGTTTGAAAAGGTGGAGGAGGACTGTTTGAAAAGGTGGTGGAGGAGGACTGTTTGAAAAGGTGGAGGAGGACTGTTTGAAAAGGTGGAGGAGGACTGTTTGAAAAGGTGGAGGAGGACTGTTTGAAAAGGTGGAGGAGGGGACTGTTTGAAAAGGTGGAGGAGGACTGTTTGAAAAGGTGGAGGAGGGGACTGTTTGAAAAGGTGGAGGAGGACTGTTTGAAAAGGTGGAGGAGGACTGTTTGAAAAGGTGGAGGAGGGGACTGTTTGAAAAGGTGGAGGAGGAGGGCTGTTTGAAAAGGTGGAGGAGGACTGTTTGAAAAGGTGGAGGAGGACTGTTTGAAAAGGTGGAGGAGGGACTGTTTGAAAAGGTGGAGGAGGACTGTTTGAAAAGGTGGAGGAGGACTGTTTGAAAAGGTGGAGGAGGACTGTTTGAAAAGGTGGAGGAGGACTGTTTGAAAAGGTGGAGGAGGGGACTGTTTGAAAAGGTGGAGGAGGGGACTGTTTGAAAAGGTGGAGGAGGGACTGTTTGAAAAGGTGGAGGAGGACTGTTTGAAAAGGTGGAGGAGGGGACTGTTTGAAAAGGTGGAGGAGGACTGTTTGAAAAGGTGGAGGAGGACTGTTTGAAAAGGTGGAGGAGGACTGTTTGAAAAGGTGGAGGAGGACTGTTTGAAAAGGTGGAGGAGGGACTGTTTGAAAAGGTGGAGGAGGGGACTGTTTGAAAAGGTGGAGGAGGGACTGTTTGAAAAGGTGGAGGAGGGGACTGTTTGAAAAGGTGGAGGAGGGGACTGTTTGAAAAGGTGGAGGAGGGGACTGTTTGAAAAGGTGGAGGAGGACTGTTTGAAAAGGTGGAGGAGGACTGTTTGAAAAGGTGGAGGAGGGGACTGTTTGAAAAGGTGGAGGAGGGGACTGTTTGAAAAGGTGGAGGAGGACTGTTTGAAAAGGTGGAGGAGGACTGTTTGAAAAGGTGGAGGAGGGGACTGTTTGAAAAGGTGGAGGAGGACTGTTTGAAAAGGTGGAGGAGGACTGTTTGAAAAGGTGGAGGAGGGACTGTTTGAAAAGGTGGAGGAGGACTGTTTGAAAAGGTGGAGGAGGACTGTTTGAAAAGGTGGAGGAGGGGACTGTTTGAAAAGGTGGTGGAGGAGGACTGTTTGAAAAGGTGGAGGAGGACTGTTTGAAAAGGTGGAGGAGGACTGTTTGAAAAGGTGGAGGAGGACTGTTTGAAAAGGTGGAGGAGGACTGTTTGAAAAGGTGGAGGAGGAGGACTGTTTGAAAAGGTGGAGGGGGGACTGTTTGAAAAGGTGGAGGAGGACTGTTTGAAAAGGTGGAGGAGGACTGTTTGAAAAGGTGGAGGAGGACTGTTTGAAAAGGTGGAGGAGGGGACTGTTTGAAAAGGTGGGAGGAGGACTGTTTGAAAAGGTGGAGGAGGACTGTTTGAAAAGGTGGAGGAGGACTGTTTGAAAAGGTGGAGGGGACTGTTTGAAAAGGTGGAGGAGGACTGTTTGAAAAGGTGGAGGAGGGGACTGTTTGAAAAGGTGGAGGAGGCTGTTTGAAAGGTGGAGGAGGGGACTGTTTGAAAAGGTGGAGGAGGACTGTTTGAAAAGGTGGAGGAGGGGACTGTTTGAAAAGGTGGAGGAGGGGACTGTTTGAAAAGGTGGAGGAGGACTGTTTGAAAAGGTGGAGGAGGACTGTTTGAAAGGTGGAGGAGGGGGACTGTTTGAAAAGGTGGAGGAGGGGACTGTTTGAAAAGGTGGAGGAGGACTGTTTTGAAAGGTGGAGGGGACTGGAAAAGGGGATGGGAGGAGGGGACTGTTTGAAAAGGTGGAGGGGACTGTTTGAAAAGATGGAGGGGACTGTTTGAAAAGGTGGAGGAGGACTGTTTTGAAAAGGTGGAGGAGGACTGTTTGAAAAGGTGGAGGAGGGGACTGTTGAAAAGGTGGAGGAGGACTGTTTGAAAGAGGAGGAGGACTGTTTGAAAGGTGGAGGAGGACTGTTTGAAAAGGTGGGGAGGGGCTGTTTGAAAAGGTGGGGAGGGGACTGTTTGAAAAGGTGAGAGGGGA